CCTCTCTACAGATAACCTTTCTACAGACCGCCTCTCTACAGACCGCCTCTCTACAGACCGCCTCTCTACAGATCGCCTTTCTACAGACCCCCTCTCTACAGACCGACTCTCTACAGACCTCCTCTCTACAGACCGCCTCTCTACAGAGCCCCTCTCCACAGACCCCTTATCTACAGATCCCCTCTCTACAGACCCCCTCTCTACAGAGCCCCTCTCCACAGACCGCCTCTCTACAGATCACCTTTCTACAGACCGCCTCTCTACAGACCGCCTCTCTACAGATCGCCTTTCTACAGACCCCCTCTCTACAGACCGCCTCTCTACAGACCTCCTCTCTACAGACCCCCTCTCTACAGAGCCCCTCTCTACAGACCACCTCTCTACAGACCGCCTTTCTACAGAGCCCCTCTCTACAGAGCCCCTCTCTACAGACCCCTTATCTATAGACCCCTTCTCTACAGACCCCCACTCTACGGACCGCCTCTCTACAGATCACCTTTCTACAGACCACCTCTCTACAGACCCCCTCTCTACAGAGCCCCTCTCCACAGACACCTTCTCTACAGACCCACTCTCTACAGACCACCTCTCCACAGACCCCTTATCTACAGACCCCTTCTCTACATACCCCCTCTCTACAGACCGCCTCTCTACAGACCCCCTCTCTACAGACCGCTTCTCTACAGACCTCCTCTCTACAGACCGCCTCTCTACAGAGCCCCTCTCCACAGACCCCTTATCTACAGAACCCCTCTCTACAGACCCCCTCTCTACAGACCCCCTCTCTACAGAGCCCCTCTCCACAGACCGCCTCTCTACAGATCACCTTTCTACAGACCGCCTCTCTACAGACCGCCTCTCTACAGACCGCCTTTCTACAGACCCCCTCTCTACAGACCGCCTCTCTACAGACCGCCACCCCTCTCTACAGAGCCCCTCTCCACAGACCGCCTCTCTACAGATCACCTCTCTACAGACCGCCTCTCTACAGACCGCCTCTCTACAGACCGCCTCTCTACAGACCCCCTCTCTACAGACCGCCTCTCTACAGACCGCCTCTCTACAGACCCCCTCTCCACAGACCCCTTCTCTACAGAGCCCCCCTCTACAGAGCCCCTCTCCACAGACCCCTTATCTATAGACCCCTTCTCTACTGACCCCCTCTCTACAGACCGCCTCTCTACAGATCACCTTTCTACAGACCGCCTCTCTACAGACCGCCTCTCTACAGACCGCCTCTCTACAGACCGCCTTTCTACAGATCGCCTCTCTACAGACCTCCTCTCTACAGACCACCTCTCTACAGACCGCCTCTCTGCAGACCCCCTCTCTACTGACCCCCTCAAGTTTATCCACCCTTCTGAGCCCCCTTATTCCTGCATCGCTCCACAACCGACCAAAGTCGCAGTACCAGACACTTTTGTGTTTACAACAACAACAAAAAAAAAAAAAAAAAAAGCGTTGAGCGCCAACCCCCCCCCCCTCCCCCCCCCCGCACCCTCTCCACACCTGTTTCTTAATTTCAGGGTGTCATTCAGGCTGTTTATCGTAAAAAAAAACTTGGCAGATGTTAAAAGGGGGTCGCGGAACTAAAAAGAAGTTTAGAATTATATGATAAAGCTATTAGAGTTTTGAAGCCTTCCAGTTTGACAACTGAGTGATCGCTCCTGGTTCTATACATGCGCTTTTCACTCCTCTCCATTGGGTGGAACACATTATGGAACATGAGAAGATAAATATCTTCTAAAATAAAACTTCCGGACCTGCCAGATATTGTCTCAAAATACTCGGACCCGGTCTAAAACATTGCACTCGACTCAGCCTTAATTAAAACCTAGGAGACCTGGATCAAGAACCGGGAGCTTGCACGCTAGCAATATTACAAGCTTAAGTCGAATTCCCACAATGGTTTACTTATATTTTGTAGAGCTTTTCATCATATGCTATTATTGCATAACCCCAATTCTTTTGCTGCCTTCATTAGCTTATAAATAGCCACGCTTGTTATTCCCACAGATCATGTAAGAGCAGCAGCGGGCACCAGACCAGCGGGAGACGTCGTAGGAGCACTGCTCCGCTCCCCCCGGAGGAAACTCAGACCGTTCAAAGCTGGATCATCGTGGGGAACGCGTCCTCGGCACCGCCCGAGGCGGCCGGGTACGTCCTGGAGATAGGGGGCGCCCCGGGCAAGCAGGAGGTCGAGGTTCGTGTGGAAGAAGGGACCGGAGAAGGAGCCCAGGCACCTGTCAGCGAGTTCGTCCGTTGGTTGACGGGGGGAAGTGAGAGGCGGGCAACAGTGAGCGGTCTTCTCGTTGCGTCTGTTGCTTTGTTGCTGGTGGGGTGGATATATGACAACTAGGGGGTGGATATATGCCAACTAGAGGGTGGATATATGACAACTAGGGGGTGGATATATGACAAGTAGGGGGTGGATATATGACAACTAGGGGTGGATATATGACAACTAGGGATTGGATATATGACAAATAAGGGTGGATATATGACAGCTAGGGGGTGGATATATGACAAATAAGAGTGGATATATGACAACTAGGGGGTGGATATATGACAAATAAGGGTGGATATATGACTACTAGGCCTAGGGGTAGATATTTAACAAAAACCAGGGGTTTATATATGACGAAAACCAGGGCTGGATATATGACAACTAGGGGTGGATATATGACGACTTTAGTCGGCAGCTTCAAGGCTAAGTATTGCAGATGACGCAGTGGCTTGGGAAGGGGCCGATGCACACTTTCTATCTTTATATTTAAAGGAGGTGTTTTTAGGTCGATTGCATTTTTTTTTGTGTGTGGAGAGGCGACAACATCTTTGCCCGGACCATAATATGGCAATCAAATGCAAGCTCGGCTTTTTCAAAGACTTCATTTATAAGACGTTTCATTTTTGAAGACGTTCACATAGAACTAATATGGATTTGATAACACAAAACAAAACGGTATTTTTTTTTTGGGGGGGGGGGGTGTTACAATTTACTGTCCCCCTCCTCCCCCACCCCTCCATTTCACTGTTCGCAATAGCGATATTTGAAATTCTATTAACGTTTTTTTTTACATGCCGTCCACTAAAATACCTAGATCTTGTATACCGGTATTATTATTTTCTTCTATTAAAGCACACATATTTATTGAGCTAGTTTGATTCCGTCCAAGTTTATATCTTAAGTGTTTCAGTGAAACTGCCGGTGTCAAAAGACAAGACATCTGTAACTCGTTGGCATTGCCTTTGTGTATTTTGATTACTCTCTTTCCTTTAACTTTAAGGTTGACCTAACCAAACTCGACATTGTTCCATAAGCTTGATTGAAAGAATATACCTATTTATGCCCAGCATCCAAATAATTACAACTTTGCATATATTTCTTTTTCACAAAGTGTGAAAGAATATTCTGGTTAGACTGACTTATTTCACAGTAGAACTTTCTAACAGAACGTTCTGCAGGAGTACTTCTCAACTTAGGAAACTCATTTAGTGACATAAATAATAAAAAGTGGCTACATCCAGAAAATATCTTTTTTTTTTAAAAGTCATCTCATGTTACTGTTCTTGTTCTGACTTAATCTATTACTATTATTCCATTTGGTTGCAGCTCATTCACCAGCAACATTTTTTGTCCTTTCAACACATCTGTAACTTGTTGGCATTGCCTTTTTTACATTGCTGTACAAAGGTACATGTTTTTGTTTTTTAAAATGACCTGTTAGTAGCAAACGTATCTGCAATGTCTCAGTAGTAGTAACATTAAATAGCATCATACTCGACGTTGATTTTTCAAGGAAGACACCCTCTTAATCTTAAGCGGAAACGACCAAATCTTTTGTCCTGTCTATGAATTCAAGTTGTTGAGCGTACCTTGTTCTTGTATTTCATTGATATTGAGAAACAACTGTGATACGAATTGATGGCCAGTCTTCTTTGAAATCGGGAAAGGAACAAAATGAATGCAGAGGGCTAAATATAATCGTGCACATGCCTAGATTGATTTTTAAAGAAACCAACATCAGAAGTTTTAATCTAAATAGAGCATAATTTTTTTACTGGAACTGTGATAATGGTTGCTTTTATTTCATGATCATGACACTTCAATGGTGGCTTTTATTTAATGACCCTTTAATGGTGGCTTTTATTTAACGACACTTCAATGGTGGCTTTTATTTAACGACACTTCAATGGTGCCTTTTATTTAATGACACTTTAATGGTGCCTTTTATTTAATGACACTTTAATGGTGCCTTTTATTTAATGACACTTCAATGGTGGCTTTTATTTAACACACTTCAAAAGGTGGCTGTCATGAACGTTTTTATTTTTCTGCAAATTATTTCAATACTTTTACTAATAAAACTGTGATGTCAAACAGGAGCCATTTGTTTATTGTGTTTCCATAATGTTTGAGATAAGGGGTTTAACCCCTGTTGTCAGTCAAAAATGCAGTGCGCCATCTCACACCCAACAAACATAAGGAGCTGAGAACCTGTCCAAGACCAACACCCAAAGAGAAGTTATCCTTCCCGCATGATGAATATGCCAACATACTCCGTGGTCATCCTATCACTGAAACTTCGAGAGACCATTAAAACAATGACCGTAAATCAGAACCTGGTCAACTTCATTTTATCAAGTGAGGGGCTAACCTGAAATTCCTCTACAATTATAAGCCATGACCTACTTGCAACTCGATGCTACATCCATAATTCTTGATGTAACTATGGCACCACAAACACTAATTTTCATTGGTGTCCATAAGGACATTCCAGATAACTGAACCAAATGAGATTCTTCAAAATACTGTGCGTAATATTTTCTTTTGCTTTGCGCAAATAGAAGGTTTAATAAATCTGTGGTGTAAAAATGGGGGCGGTGGAGTATTGAGGGTGGGGTAGCAGTAATTCGGAATCTTATAAAGTGCTTTTACTTGTATACATGTTTTGTGAAGTACATAAAGCAGATAGCACCTTCACGCATTTTTTTTTTTTGGTGAGCTACAGCTAGTTACTATTCCTGATCGAAGTAGCTATCTGTAGTGTGATATGAATTATTTTCAAGCGTTTCCAAGCATAACTTATGAGCTTAAAAGATCCTCATCCACCCTCCCAATGTCATGTTAAGACATCCATGCAAGAGCTTCTCCAACTAACAGGCAACATGTCGACCACCTGAGACAGTGATATACGTGATGTGTACGTTCATAACATCATATTTATTTCAATTAGTATGAGCCTAACAGTACACCTACTTAAAAATGATACAAGACATTGTACATCACCATGTGCATATAATATCAGTAATTCCCTTGAAATAAATAATAAGAATACATTATTGTGGGAAGGAATTACATAATTTATGTCACATACATGCAGCAATAATTGTTTCGAATTTTATTTAAACATTTTTTTATTTCTTAAAAACAGGTTTTAAAACAATGAAGAGTGTAAAATCTATGCCACAAACTTTGAGTTAGCTCCCCCTCTGCCCCTGAATGCATCCTTGGCCATCTTTCAGCGGTCTCAGAAGGGGAGCGAAAATTACACTTCTAGAAGTGAATTTAAAAAAAAAAAGTCAACAGCATTGAATAGCACATATTCAAAGGCTTAAGCTGACCATCGCTTGCAACAGTTTTTAAAATAAAAATGAATCTAAGAATCATGTTTGCATCACTCAAAGGTTAGATCAAGTTAAATTTTGGGATCAAAGTGAAAAAAAAAAAAATCTGACAAAGCAGCTTTCCACAGAAGAACACAGCAAAGTTTTTCTCCATGTCCACCTGAGCCTAACTCTGCCCAAATTCTAAACCCATGCATGGCTAATAAAAGAGCTGTAACAATGAGAGATTCACGTAGAGTAGAAAATAAAGAGCACACACAGATTTCTATTGTTACACTGAAACAGTGGTTCTTAACCTGGGTTCGATCGAACCCCAGGGTTTCGGTGAGCCAGTCTCAGGGGTTCGGCGGAGGCCCAAAAAAAAATCAGAAAAAAAAAATCATATTTTATTTTTCCTATTAATAAGGGTTCGGTGAATGCGCATGTGAAACTGGTGGGGTTTGGTACCTCCAACAAGGTTAAGAACCACTGCACTATAATATGACTAGACAAGGGGAACTAATTCCACATCTTATGATTATAGATTACCAAACATGGAATTTAAAAATATTGTTTTCCAGGTATGAGCTTGTAAAAAATTCTGAGTGTTTAACCATTTTTGTAAGCAAATACCAATATTTGGGAGCATACAAGGTATGGCTGTTCTCATCCAGAGTGATTAATAATATACAAAATATCAGGATTAGCTTACTGGTTAAAAAAACAACAAAAGTTGCTTAATTGTAACATTAAAGTAATTTAAAACGTGAAGTCTAGGCAATTTCCAAAACAGAAACCAAATTGCAACTAGGACAGTTTCTAATTTTATTTATATTTAATATTTTTTTGTCACAATATACGCATACTCAGTCCTTGTAAGTTGATCATACATACCTCATATTCTCTCACATACCCCAACAACAACAACACAATTATCAGTGTTATGTCAATAAAAAACCATCTAAACTCCTGTCATACCAATAGCTATGGACAGATCCAGTTGAGATTAGTGAACTGTTCAGACGTCCATGAAGGCCATGGCACACACAGACAATATCAAAGAAATGTAGATCACTAGATCACGTTGGCTGCTCCTTCAAGGCAGACTATTCACTACTGCATGGATGAAATCTGAGGTGCTGGAGTAGCCTCCCATGTCTTGAGTGCACACCTGGAAAGAGCACACTCCTTTATTAGAGGCTAACACAACAAATACATTTTAGACTATTTCATAACCAATAATGGAAACAAACATTTGTTCAATTAAAATTTTGAAGGAAAAAAAGTGAATTTGTTTAGAGCTGTGATGTCAAGCAGTAACAGGTTGGGCACAATTTATTTGTATAATTTTATATTATTTTTATTTTTAACAAAAATTTTTAACAACAGGTTTGGTAGAATAGTCCAAATTTAACAGCCGGTTTTCAAGAACCAGCTCCAGCACACTACTGGTTCTGAACCAATATTGTGTAAAAAAGCAATTTAATAAACACACAGCATTGTGAGAGATTGTTACTCAAATAATTCCCTTCTGCTAAGCATTAAAGTGTTTCGTTGACTAAGTTTAAATATTGACTGTAGTTTACTCTGTGTAATGCAAGGATTTGAAGACAACAAATTCTGTCCCTTACCTTCCCACTTTTGATTACTTTCAGGACGGCATCTTGTATAAGTTTCGAGTGATATTCTAGGTGGATGTGGTTGAGCATGTTACAAGAAGCCAGCAGGGTGGCTGTGGGGTTGGCTATATTCTTACCTACAGCCTCAGCAAAGGCATGGCGGGCACCCTGCAATATGATGAGCAGTGTTGAAATTAGCACAACCAGCAATCACAAGTTGTTTATCCAGCTTTAAAATGTATCAAGAGTGAATTTCACTACATCGATGCAGGCAAGTATCATCAACAAATTGCAGTGAAATATTTGTATCGAACACTGATTCTATTACTCTGAGTCTATAATGCTGAGTCTCTACTGAGTCTACAACACTGATTCTATAACACTGAGTCTATAACACTGAGTCTACAACACTGAGTCTATAAAACTGAGTCTATAACACTGAGTCTACAACACTGAGTCTACAACACTGAGTCTATAACACTGAGTCTATAACACTGAGTCTATAACACTGAGTCTATAACACTGTCCAGTTAGTGGGAAATGTTAAAATTCATTATTTATAAGCAAAAACTGATGATTCCAACATTATGTAAGCAATTCTGACCCATGACAGTATAGCTGATGTTTATTGTACTGACACCATAGCTGATGTTTATTGTACTGACACAATGACAGTATAGCTGATGTTTATTGAATTGACACCATGGCAGTATAGCTGATGTTTATTGTACTGACATCATGACAGTATAGCTGATGTTTATTGAACTGACACCATGACAGTATAGCTGATGTTTATTGTACTGACATCATGACAGTATAGCTGATATTTATTGTACTGACATCATGACAGTACAGGTGGCGTTCATTTAGTACGGACAATTCCTTGTTGAACTGAACATAGATAAATTCATATTTATAACATGATCAAGATCATTTTCAGTTGTAACAAATACATTAATCACCTTACTCCCCTCAAAATTTAATATTTTTGTATGGAACATTATCAAATTTGAATTTATTTTAAAAATTACTAATTCTTACAGAAAAACGAAAAAGATGGGAAGACAACATCAAAGAGTGGACGGAACTAAAACTAGGCGATGCTGTGTGAAGTTAAGAAAACAGAGAGGAATCAAGAAGGATAGTTTTCATGTCATCTGTGGGGCCCCAACTGTCCAAGGACTAAGGGTCATGATGATGACAGAAAAACATTCTATATCCCATTGTTTTTATGTACCATACAAGAAATATAAAAGCTACAGTAGAAATGATCTTAAGAACAACAGCTAATTAAATTTTCAGCAGACTAGCAGAGACTGAAAATAAAATGATGAGGTTTGCAAAATTTCAACAACCTCTAATGTTCAAACTCGCTAGCAGTAACATTTCATTACTGAATAAGCAATGTAGAGGTGACTCAGGGGCAGTAGCTCTAACAGAGGATGTGTTTGATGATGTGTTACCTGTTCAAAGACTGCAACATTTGAGCTGTAGCTTTCACCGGGTACGACACCAGCACCACCCACTAGGCCAGCAGCAAGGTTGTCCACAATGTTGCCATACAAGTTGGGCATGACCATCACATCAAACTGATAGGGGTTGGATACCAACTGGGGAATTCAAGCCAGTCATGGTAGACAAGGGAATTATTGAGCAGGGCGTAATGTGGTGAGAATGATGCAGGGGACAATGGTGAATATATGGGATAATTATAGAAGAAGAGATGAGAAAAATGGCAGAAGGGAGAAATGACATAATAATTCAGGCATGATGCCACTTAATAGTAATAATGTAACAAACTCTCTGGGTATCACTGTGGGGTTAACGCCAGGCTATACTACAACACATTCACACATACTGAATTTAAAAGTAGCAAAAAGGTGTCTGCTGGGCCCTAACTTCTGGCTGGTCACTCATGCACGGCGAGTGACCCTCCTGTGACCAACATGTAACCCATCCTCTCTTTCTCTCTGCTAGTTGGGCGGTGGAGAATGCATTAGACAAATCTGTGCATACCTCATATAAGCTTAACTCCACAGCATAACTTATGTAATAATTATATATCATGAACAGGTTACTTTATTTTTCCCTTTGGATACTCAGTATGTATCTATTTTTATAATTAATCATCATTGCTGTTCAATCTTATTATACCACACCATTATGACTGGTTATGAATAATATGATTATTGCTAGCTATGTATGTTTGTCATACTGTGAGTTACCTATGACCGATAAATGATGCTGCTGGGTGCCATCCATACTTTGACATTTAAAAGTCTGGGGTGGGTGTGGTGAATATATATTTGTGTTTTTTTAATTTTTATTCAGTTTTTTTTTTTGGTTAAATTAAATAAATGTTTATTATTTTTTAATTTCATGACCATGTTTGCTAAAACTTTTTTGTACAGTGGGGTGAGGCCAGCCCTAGGCTGTGGTACGACGCTATATGAGACCACTAATAACAATAATAAATAATAATAACCTGTAAAATCCAGTTATATGCAACAAAAGGGCTCTGATTGACACCCCCNCCCACACACTATTTTAGAGACATGGCAAATAAACTTACCTGCATACAACAGTTATCAATTATCATTGTCTCAAACTCAATCTTCGGATACAACTTGGAGATGTCTGAGCAGCACTGAAGGAACAGTCCATCCCCCAACTTCCTGAAATGTTAAAAATCAGTAAACATTAAATCAACAACATCCTTCGGCTTTTCGCAGTTAACCTATTTTTGAAAACAAGATGATGCCACTCTTCAGTTATTACTTACACAGCCCTAAAGATGCTTCTCAGCATAGGCCAAAAGAAAGAGTTTAAGTCTTGAAATAGGGATGTAGAGATTTCAATCATCTTTAATATAGCCATAGATAAACAAATGAATAGGGATGTAGAGATTTTAATCATATTTAAATTAAGCCATGGATTAACAAAAGAAAAGTAAAAAGTGGACACCATCTGAGATCATCTTTATGTTAATAGAAGTCCTTATAAAAAGGGTAAAATGCTCATAATGTGAGATAATTAAAATAAACTTAAAGAATGTACGTTTTTCCACAAGCCCCCATGGGAAAAAAAGAATATATTAAAAAAAAAAAGGCCACACAAACATGTTAAGTGAAGTAAAATCCAAAAGAAGGTAACAATTCTTTTAGATTTTACAGATATGTTGATCAAATTACAAATGAAGCCATTTATATTTATAAACCCATACAAAAAAAAGGGTAAAATGCTAATAATGTAAGATAATTAAAATAAACTTAAAGAATGTACGTTTTTCCACAAGCCCCCATGGGAAAAAAAGAATATATTAAAAAAAAAAAGGCCACACAAACATGTTAAGTGAAGTAAAATCCAAAAGGAGGTAACAATTCTTTTAGATTTTACAGATATGTTGATCAAATTACAAATGAAGCCATTTATATTTATAAACCCATACAAATGTGGCCAGATATTACCAGCAGATTTCACCTTAATGACCAAATCAAAGGAGAATTTCCATTAGTTACCCTTGAGGGTAATATGTCTAGCAAAGACAAGAAACCGCATTGGCCCTAGGAATAATAACCAGTCAAAATGACTACCAAATGACTTACATGATATTTGCCTTGTGGACAGCTGTAACCTTCTTGCGCGAGTGTCTCATGGCATAGTCGAATGCAAACTTTGCAATACGCATGGAGTTCTTTCTTGTTACAATTTTTAAAGACTCCACCACACCAGGTATACTCTGAGAAATGATTGCCACGTAAGATATTAAAAAAGCAAAACTTTGTTACATATTTAGATATCTCTGAAAACATTTCACCAAATCCCATGATTGTACTGACCTCATGTTCTAAAGCCATATAATCAATCCCATGATTCTACTGACATCATGTACTAAAGCCATATAATCAATCCCGTGATTCTACTGACATCATGTACTAAAGCCATATAATCAATCTGTGATTCTACTGACATCATGTACTAAAGCCATATAATCAATCCGTGATTCTACTGACATCATGTACTAAAGCCATATAATCAATCCCGTGATTCTACTGACATCATCTACTAAAGCCATATAATCAATCCCATGATTCTACTGACCTCATGTACTTAAGTCATATAATCAATCCCATGATTCTACTGACATCATCTTCTAAAGCCATATAATCCCATGATTCTACTGACCTCATGTTCTAAAGCACTGTATTCCCCCTCTGTCTGTTCACGAATGATAACAAAGTCTAAGTTGTTGTGTCTCGTTGTGAAGCCAGGCAAACTTTTCACCCAGACTACATTGGCGAACAGATCCAATTCACGCCTGAAAACAAGACAAGAAGCCCATCAAGCAGGCCAAAATACCGGTACTGTATTGACAAAAAAAAGCTTTGATCACACAGATGGCATAGGTCATGTTTTTATTTAAATTTTAAACCAAAACACTTTTTAGGAATTTTAAAGTACTTATCCAACTAAAAAAAACCCCCATCAATTCCTGTGTCATCACACCTTTCTCTGTGACCCACCTAAAGACGTCAGATTGATGTTTATTTTCATTTTCTAACAACCCTTTATGGTGACGACAACAAAGAGACACATCCTTCTCCCACACAGACACAACTGCCTTGGCACACTTAATGTTAGAGCTAAATCTAAAATACATGGTGAGGACAACAAAGAGACACATCCTTCTCCCACACAGACACATCCTTCTCCCACACAGACACAACTGTCTTGGCATGCTAAATTTTAGACCTAAATCTAAAATACATGGTGACGACAAACAAAGAGACACATCCTCCTTTAACACAGACACAACTGCCTTGGCACACTAAATCTTAGTATTGTTAGACCTACATTTAAAATACACTAAAACTATGCCAGCAAACAAATGTGAGTCAACTAGAGCACCGTAAAACCACATACTAAATTAGGGTGTGACACAGCGTGTGAGAAATGGACCAAACCTTATCCTCATGTTCAACGTCTGCAGCACTCCTCCTTTGAAAAATGTGGGTGTTGTTATAATGCCCTTCAGGCCGACTTTGTTACGCTTGAACGACTCCACCACATCCATCAGAGTGGAGCTGGTGTTTGGGGAGATCTCACTGAAAAATCAAAGAACAGATAAGGCGCCCCATTGGATGATCATGATAAACACATTTAACAGGCCAAGACACAAGCGTGCAAACAAAAAAACCTAGGATTCCATTACCAGCAATAAGCTGCAGCCTGCCAGATGTTTGCCTAAAATGGTATCACCCTTTCAACGTGTAGACCCACCTTATGAACTTCTCCTCAAAATCAACAGGCACACCGGCCGCTTTGAACACCTCCTGAACTCCTGCCATGATTTCAGGCCCCACCCCATCTCCTGGCACCAGGGTCACCATGTGTCTGCCAGAGGGCCGAGATATGGGCTCAGCAATCTTAGTGTGATGAAAGCAAACAGAAGCATACAAAAGTAAAAACCGTTTCATGAAGAGGGGGCTGTTGTGGATACTAGGGGTTTGGGGGGGTTGTTGGGGTGCTGGGGGTTTGGGGGGGGGGGGGGTGCGGGGACTGAGAGGCTGTTGCGATGACGTTTTCCCTTGTTGTCTTTTTTGGAACATGAAAAAATTTATTTGAGCACATGATTATATTTGCAGCTTTTATGTTGTGAGATTACTTATGTAAGACAAAGATTTACCCAAAAATGTGTTTTTCTTGTCCAAACACATCTACGGAGCATTTAATTTGCTTGATAATGCATAAGCCAATAAAATATAAACTGTATTAGGCTGTTATATATCTCCTGCAGGGGGAAATTAAAGTTTCTCTTCATAAAAGTACACAAATTTAACAGCCATGAATTTTCAAGCTCATAGTTTTAGACACGCAATTAAACAACTGCCTAATAGCAAAGTTTTTACGTATAAATCCTTTATATACGTTTTAGTTCGCATTTATGTCATTGCACGTTATTTATCATTTAGAAACGCGATGTTTGGTATGGAAATCGGTTTTATCAAGCTTAGTGCAAGGAAAACCAAAATAGACCAAAGATATATATAAACCCAAATGTGTCACAAATGCAGAGCACATTGCAACACCTACACAATTAATATCCAAAACAAAACATGCATCCCTTGAACAAATCATATTACATTGATCTTTCCCCTTGAAAAATAGATTTTGGGGGGAGGGGGTTGTAGGTGGGTCTGAAAATATGACAGAATGTGTTGTCGTCTGCAGCATGTCTATGCGCAAAGATTCAGTTCGATAGGATGACAGGAAGTGGGTCAAATAGCGACCTGAAGATTTAGCCACAAACACACTAGTGAAGTTGATACAAAGGATTTTAAAAGAGATACTAGGATTTTTTTGGTGTTAATTTCCATGTCTAGTGTGAGTGTGGACCCGAGACACTGTGATTTGTTTTTGATTCCTGCACATGTTTCCAAGTCAAGAACCAACCAGTCCAATACAAACATGTTTACATACCAGCAAGTATTATAACCTGCAGTCTGTTCAACTAAACACTGCTAAGGGCTCTAAAAGGACGAAATCTAAAAGGACACCGGGTGAGCATGGTCCCCCAAAGCAAGAACATATAGCATAATAAGGGGTGTGAAATATGGTATTTAATATGAATAGTAGCAGGTGGCTGACCGAAACCAAAGAAACGGGCTGACTAGAAATAAAGAACTGTACACAGCTCACACATACCTCAGTTACAAGGTGCAGTTATGTCAATAATATTACAAACCTGTAAGCTCCATAGATAAATTTAAAAACGTATTTGGGAATAAAGAGAACTGCACAAAAACTAAGATATTTTTAAAATACTTTTTTTTTTTTAAAATGACACTATCAGATGATTTGATCACAACACAGGATATTATGATTTAAATTGTAACACATACGGTTCATCAAGGATTGTTTTACAACCATTTAAGATTTGTTATTTTAATAAAATAATTTTTTTCCACTTGGCCTTTTTTAAAGTGAAAATTTTAATATTTTCTAAATATACATGAGACATGAATTAGCAGGGGTCTTCAAACTGGGCCACAATCTGCACAAAAAAGGGGTTTATAATCCTGTCCCCCTTGCCGCCAAAAGGGTACCTGGCTAGCAGTGACAAATATGGGATCAGGCATTGATCATCTCTTTAGCCATACTTCCCCTTTGACATGCTATTAAGTTCGTGTTGGATAGATTTTTCTCTACACTTTAAATATATTATGGTTTTTTACGTTATTTTTTAAACTACAAATAAGATATATGCAGTGTGCAATTCATTTTTGTTTTAAAACTATACGTTGGCTTTCAAAAGTGTCTGAGGGACACTGACTTGGCTGTGGTTTAAAAATTTTGAGGACCCCTGCCTTAGAAACATATCTCAAAATTGTATCTTTTACAGAAAAAATCAAATTAAAAGAAAATGTAAAACTACTCATACGGCCAGATCAAATGATATTGTAGCATAAGATCTAGTAATATAACTAAATATACGTATTTAGGGGGGTGAGAGATAAAATAAGGTAAAACTGTAGCTTAACATGTAGTAAAACATATAATACATATGGTTTGACAGCAGGCAGTGGTGTAATCAGAAATAAAAATAAATAAAAAGAGAGAGGTGCATACTAGGTACGATTTCATTCAAATAATATTATGTGTTCTGCTAGAGAGTCACATTTTCTGAAGTACTGCAAGGTAACAAAGCCCCCCCACCCCTTTTCCGGAAACAAATAATATAACATTTGAGGGACAAATAGCTTAAAATGTTAGAGGTTGTAAAGCGATTTCTCACAAAACACAGTTGACCTACTCTACATAGTAATGTTAGAAAAAAAATCAGAGATTGGATCAACAGAAAAGGTTATATGATGTTAACGATTTCTAGATAACACCATGGTTTCAGCAAGTATGGAACATGTTTCAGCCTCCTTGTTCCATGCATTATTAATTTTGTCCAGAGTCAGATAATTTTAACAATTTTATCAAATTGTAGATATGACAAAGTTGTTTGTTGATTATGGAGTGTAGATTTAATCCAAATTTGTTATATATTTTTTTTTATTGCTCATAAGAATAAGTTTTGGACGCACCAAACAAACGCAAATTTCAGATTAAAATGATAATGCATCATGCAGTGTTGAGATCACAGTTTAAATAAAACAGGGTAATGGTACATATCTTTTGGATTTTTTCTTTAGTCTGATTGTTGTTGATCAAGTTTGGGATCCGCTGATTTAGAGGATTTGAGACCCGCTGATTTAGAGGATTTGAGACCGTGAATGGATTTCTGGCTGCCAGATACTAGAAGAGGAAATTATATAAGTTAAATGATAAAGCCTAAGCAGAGTGCTTTTAAAAATAATGCTCTCAGAAGGTGAAATTAAGGCAAACAAACTATTACACTCTCATGACTCTAATGTAAAAAAAAAAAAAAGGTTTGACTGAAACCCTGGTTATTGTTTTCAAAGGTTAAATAGTAATAATAATAATAAAAAAAAGAACAATTTTGTCTTGATTATTCAATTAGCTAAAAAAAAACATCAAAATTTACAAGAAAAGGATTGTGAAACTTGACACTCATGATATTTCTTTAAAAAATTAATGGCCGAGTGTTCCCCCTTTGTTGCATAAACCTGTGCAGATGACAAGTACAGCAATTTTAAAAGTGATCGAATTTTTCTTAAATACATTATCAATTTTTAATAAATAACTGAATAAAAAAAAACTTTGCAAGCAGCATTGCGATGCAGTATATTTCATAGATTCTCGTCCTGCCTGTAGATGGCTTTTTTTTTTTTTCACTTCAATGAACACAAATATGTGCACAAGTCATAAAATCTTGCAGATGCAAACTAAGAGGGAACATGGCCACATTAAAAGCTAAGTTATCAATATATTCTGTTGTTAGTTTTGCTTAGAAGCAACTCATCAGTGACATATAATACGCAAGCATTTCTAACAAAGTTTTCCTATATAAAGTAAAAAAATGTTTAATCCAATCTACGAAATTCAAAAGAAGGAATACAACAGAACATGCAACATAATGATAAACATCTAAATATTTAATGTCATTATAATATAAATATAAAGCTGTATAGTACCTTTCCTTGAGCATGGGCCTAGAAATAAGGAAGCAACAAAGGGAGGCAAGATAAAATATTAATTAAAAAAAAAAAACAATAAAAAAAAGAAAGACAAAAAATAAAAAAAATAAAAAAAAAAAAAACAAAACAAATCCTTGAGCATGGGCCTAGAAATAAGGAAGCAACAAAGGGAGGCAAGATAAAATATTAAATAAAAAAAAAAAACAATAAAAAAAAGAAAGGCCAAAAATAAAAAAAATAAAATAAAAAAAAGCCAAACAACTCCCCCTCCCCCCCTCTAACAAAAACCAATCAGTCACTGTGTATTATTGATCTTAGTCCAAAAATAAATAATTTCAGTCCAAAAATTAATAATTTCACAGTCCAAAAATTAATAATTTCACAGTCCAAAAATTAATAATTTCACAGTCCAAAAATTAATAATTTCAGTCCAAAAATAAATAATTTCAGTCCAAAAATTAATAATTTCACAGTCCAATAATTAATAATTTCACAGTCCAATAATTAATAATTTCACTTAACATTTAACTGTTAACGGGGACACTCTTAACTAGGGTCCAATGAATTGATTATTTATCTTAAGGGTGAGGAAGGTTTTCATGGATAATTAAAAAAAAAAAAAAAAAAAAAAACAATTCTCACTATCCTCACGCTAAAATTGACAATTTGTGGGCACATAGTTTCCATTACATATCCAAGGGGGCTAATCATACACAAGTTAGAGGCTCAGGTTGCAGAGACTACAGAGGATGAAACAGATTTATATACATTTGAGGCGTGTTTGTGTGTGCTGAGTGAACTTTGATGGATCCTCTTTCTCTGAAACTTTTAAACTAGTTCTCATGAAGTCAATGCATAAAGCTGAAGTCAACAACTTGACTCATGCTGGCCATGCGGTAAGATATTTTTTTAAAGGGCAAGACATAATTCACTGCGACTAAAAGACACTCTCTTATTGCAGAAGCTGTCAAATTAATAGTTGGTCAGCTCTTCCCATGTCTTATAACTTGTGGGGGTGGATGAAGAATTTCCTAAAATGTAGCTATTTTTTTTTTCCCTATATCTCTAATAATGTTCTTCCTAGAGGAATTAGCTCCATAAAATCAAAGCAGGCTAACTATTTAAATGAAAAAGTCCTAAGGGGATGTAAATTGTCTTAGTTATCTGAAAATAAGGAATCCAAAAGAGCATAATAATGGATTAGCAGTGAAATTTTTTTTAAAAAATTGTAAAAATCCTACTTTCATGGATGACACCTTATTTTATGCGAATGAAATAGGGAAGTTGAAATAATTGCTTAAACATAGATGATAAATGGAACATATATGATAATGAATAGTATTTTTAAAACACCTATTAAAGATTTTTAAAAAAATTAATGTACATTCAATTTATTTTTAACCCATAAAAAAAAATTATGCCATTTAGTCTGAAGGTAACTTGAAATTGTCTTCATTCCATGCATTCAAAATAGTTGTGTACCCATGATAACACTAGGTCTTGTAGAGATTAACTCCTATCGGGATACTCACTCTAACCACTGGGTTACAACACTACATTTTTCTCCACTGTTGTCACCCTACAACACTCCACATTGAGAGCTCACCCTGCTCTTAACTTTAGACAAACCACTATACCCCTCATGCCCGACACTTCTGACCCTAAAACATTTTAAAAACCTTGGCTTATTTAACATGTTAGGAAAGTTCCCTGATAGTAACTCAGGGGTTCATGTTTGAATGCTTCCATTATCATAGTTGCATACCTTTGAGGATGAGTTACCTTGATTTAATGTGTATTCATAGCACAGAAGAAAGCTTTAAGTTAACTGAAAATTACCATGTTAAGGGGAAATCTAGTTATCACACTTCTATGTTTCTTAAATATTTTTTAACCTAGCCAAGTACATAATCAAGACAGGCTACATCCTTCATTCAAATTTTTTTATCTTTTTCAAGTTACTACAATTTAAGTACTTACAGATGCCTGTTGATGTGTCTGATCTTGGTGCAGTAATCGAGATGGAGCATTAGCAGTCAGCTGCAATTAACAAAAACTATGTTAAAAGCATTTCATTTTTTTTTTAGACAATACGTTTTTAAGTTAAATTGTTTTTGACATTACCTTTTTAACTGATTGTATTTTCATTTATATTTTTGCACTCTGCCTGAGTTTTGTATATCTGCCATGACTCAGGTCATATTTGTGTATATCCAAAGATATATATATATAATGACATGCACAACTGGAAATTAGTGCAACAAAATTAATTCTTCATGTGAAAAACTCGCTCATCACTATATTTTTTCAAAAGGCTGTGGCAGGTGCTATTTTTTACACCCATTTTCTATAATGTGTTCCTCCCAAAGGGGAGAAGTAAAGAGTGCATGTATAGAACCATAACGACAAGAAAAAGTAGAGTAGGGTTAAACCTGAAAAAAGGAACGCAACAAAACAACGAACGTGTTGGCAGGAAGCCTTCGTCAGCGAACTAAACAACAGAAAAAAAAACAGTATAAAAATAAAAAACAAACACATCAATAGTAGCGACCACCAAGGCAAGACAGACTTTTCAATAAGTGCGAACGTGGCTAGCACAAACACACCCAGCCGGGTGAATTTGGAACACAGGCTTATCTTGACTTATGGCACATTGACGCCACATGGTATGACGTCATGTCTCATTTAACAGCTTGAACCTAGCTCCGCCCCTCCAAGTCCTGATCTATCGCAGTAAACTTACTTCTCCTCTTTTCTTTCCCTCTTCTTATTTAATCTCTCACTCACTAACTTTCTGTCACAATTCTTTTGCTGCCCACGGATACTTCCTCTAAGCGAAGTGCTATGTTTCATTTTTATACTGTTTTTTCTGTTGCTTTGTTCGCTGATGAAGGCTTCCTGCCGACACGTTCGTTGTTTGGCTGCGTTCCTTTTTTCAGGTTTAACCCTTCTCTGTTTTACTCATTTTATATTGTGCTAACCCCATTGCAGTCTCTCCTCTTATTACCCCATAACAACAAGGAAGGGATCAAAGTTGAAGGATTCGAAACACTAATAGCTTAATAATAATCTCTGTTTTACTCATTTTATATTGTGCTAACCTCATTGCAGTCTCTCCTCTTATTACCCCATAACAACAAGGAAGGGATCAAAGTTGAAGGATTCGAAACACTAATAGCTTAATAATAAAATCCTAAACCAGCGATTCTCAACCATTTTAATTGCCGTGTCCGCTTTATAATATTTGTCAAATATCTCGACCCACAACCAAAAATATACCTTGAAATTGAGAAACAGGTGTTGAGAGATGGGAGGGGAAGCACTCTTTTGTAGAAAACAAGGTGTTGGTACTTTAATTTTGATCAGGGGTGGAGGGAAGCAGAAATAAGGACAGAAGGGTAGAGGGTTCTGTAGAGGCCACTCTTTACATCTATTCCCAGAACAATTTTGATAAATTCACACACCTGGTTATAGTTTTGCATGGAAGCTGCCAACTTTTAAGTTCAGGAGGAAAGAATGAAAAAAAAAATATGCAAAAACAAAAAAATTAAAATCAGATATAAAGTTGTTTTTTTTAATGAAAAGAAATTGCAAAATATTTATATAAAATTAGCTACAAACATCTACATCAGAAATTTTTTTTATATTTTATGTTGCCAGGCATGGGAAATGGGAATTGGTGCAGAAGAATCTGATTTTTTATTTTAGGACATTGGTACTTTTTCATTGATCAAAGGACTATTTAGTCATAAAATTTTGGTATTTATCCACATGTTTACAGTAGTGGATCTACATTTCTATGATAATTTTTTGCCTTTTCAGTTTATCCCAATATAACAAATTAGGATATATATAAGGTATCTTTCCCCACAAAAATGTGAAAAAGTTCAAAATATAGGTATTTCATATTATTCTTCCTCGTCTTTTGCATCATATATTTGTTTCACAAATCAACATGAATTGTTAGAATCATCTATGGCCGTTGATAAAAATTAAAATAATTTCTAGTCATTTGCTAGAGGTAATTCAGAATTATAAAATCCATTAAAATGTGATTATATAGCGTAAAATTTTATTACATACAATTTAGTATAATGGGCCCTACAATAACGAATTGGGTTGGGGGTAGGCCTATACTATATACTATACTAGGTTTATAGGCCATATATACATATATATACATATAAACACATATATATAATATATATATATATATAATCTAATATAAACTAATATAAATATATTAGTTGTAATGAAAGGTATTTATCCCCAAAGACCCACCCATAGTCGCAAGAATAAAAAAAGGCAGACTGCGCTGGCCAGAACATATTAAAAGGATGCCACATTGTAGATTAGCAAAAGTGATATACAGGCAGAAGCCTAGGGGCAGACAGCTCACTGGTCGTCCAAGACTGAGATGGAGAGAAGAAATTATACCAGTTGGGGGTTACCGCATACAGGCAGAAAGCCATGGATCGATCTGAATGGAAGGATGTGGTAGAGCAGGCCTGGGCCCTACATGGACTATAGTGCCACTGATGATGATTATATCCCACTCCACAAATCATTTATAATAGTATTATTACTATTATTATAATAATACTTTTACTAAGCCAGCCTAAGTTTTAAGTCAAAGACAAATGGTTATCAATTCAAAGTCCATGGCAACCAACCCCTAAATTAAAACCACTGATATTTCATGGCATAAGCAAATAAAATTATTTATTTTATAAAAAAATGTTTTTAAATATTTTTAAAATGATGTATTGATAGTTGTATTTCCCATTTATATTCTGTATAACCTATTTAATGCATTATTAACTACCCCACGGCTGCTATTAATAATTGGTAATAAGCAGACAAGCACTGTGGCCATGATGATAAATTACATAGCCTAAAAAAAAAATGACCTCTTTGATTTTCGTTTGTGACGCCTACCTATAGCCTACACTCATGAATTTTGGATGTGTTATAAATGAACAAATAAAATTAATGAGCGGCTTTTTTCATCAATGGAGGGCTTTTAAAAAAAATTGATTGATTAATGAAATTAACCTATTTTTAAATTAAATTTTCAAAGCTTTAATCTCGAAAGAAAAATCAAATGAATTCTCAATAGAACAAGCAAGATGTCGGCTTTAAGTAATGGCTGCAGCTATTCAGGCTCCTTTAAACTAAATGGCTATTCAGATGTCATTTATGGTAGTTTATTTTAGTTAAGCTGAAGAAGTAAGTTTACAAACATATAGTCCATTCAATTATTTTTAATTTGATACCAAATTTTGTCTTAAAGGCCCAACAGAAGAAATATTAAAAAAAATTTTTAATAAACCCAACCTCTCAATCTTTTCTAGGTACAAATAGTAGGTACTTCTGTAAAGCAAGGGACACTCCTAGAAAATTTGTATCGGAAATTGCCTTCGGCACAATGTTGAATGGGAGTTTTTAATTTTTTTATGTGCGTGCAATTTTAAAAATAAAGGAGACCTATTGGCCCATAATTAAGGTCTTACTACACCCAATCACATTAGGAGAAATGTTGGCCTACATTCCCATTGAGTTTTTTGTTCTTTATTTCAACTTTAAATGAGGAAAATCGTATGTTAATGTAAGGCATCTTTGCATTAAAATATTTGGTTGAAATATTCAAAGTAGGTCTTTCATATTAAAAGTAGGCCTGTGTAAGTTATTGAGGTGTAGGTGTGCAAAATTTCATTGCGCTAGCTCATGGAACATATTCACAATTCTCCTCAGACACCTGGGTCCAAATAGCAGCGATGCGTGTCCGAATAGCCGCAATGCCTGTCCGGATCCATTTTGACTAAATACTATATTTAGGTACTACACTAAAAATTTCAAAGTTGTTATATATTAATGAAACTTATATCATTAGAAAGGACTCAGTATTTCCTTTCCATTGATACCTATTTTATCTTTCTATCTTAAGTAGAACAAAAGTTATCGCATTTTTAGTGTCAGAATTTTTCCTTATATAGCCTTAGTAAATATTTTCCAAAATTCTGTGACCGAAAAAAGACATCTTTGACACTCAAAATGCGATAACTTTTTATTCAGCAAAGTTAAAGCTTTGAAACTTGCAACGCATTTCAATTAAGTTTTTGGCTTTAATAATAAATCATTGTTATGCAAATAATACAATAAACATATTAATGTGTGCGATTTGACGAACAGAGGGTACGTAAATTTCATTAAAAACATAGCGCCTGCTCTCAATACTCAAAATGCCATAACTTTTTTATCTGTAAAGTTAAAGTCTTCATATTTTCAGCATAATTTAAGTAGGTATTGGGCTTTTATAATAAGCCACTTTCTTATTAATATTTAGACTAATGTATTAATGCCCTGGATTTGAACAACAGAGGGTAAGTAAATTTCATTAAAAATGTAGCGCCTGCTCCCAATACTCAAAATGCCATAACTTTTTTATCTGTAAAGTTAAAGTCTTCATATTTTCAGAACAGTTTTATTAGGTATTGGGCTTGTATAATTAGGCATTTTCATATTAATATTTTGACTAATGTATTAATGCGCGGGATTTGAACAACAGCAGGTAAGTAAATTTCATTACAGATGGAGCGCCCGTTCTCAATACTCAAAATGGCTTAACTATTTTACCTGCAAAGTTAAAGCCTTCAAATTTTCAGCATAGTTTCATTAGGCATTGGGCTTTTATAATAAGCCATTTAAATATTAATATATCAATAAATGAATTAAATCAGTGGCATTTGAGCAACAGAGAGTGAGTAGATTTAATTCTAAAATTTAGCCTGTTTGTGCATTAAAAATACAAATTGCATAAATGTTACCAATTCCACCTATTGTGTTAATGCACACAATCATCTAGTAAATTAATATTAATTCTGTGAATAATTCCACAGAAAAGATTTATAAAATAATGTATTATAATGGATAAATAGCATTGAAAAAATGCTGATCACATATATCAAAATCCAATCATCCATGATCCAATCCATGAAATTGATATCCAAGTAGCCATGCTATTTCAAATCCACAGTACAAATGATGATCACTTAATATTATTTTAGTACTTCTATTGTCTATAGTTCATTGAAAAGCTGAATAAAAGAGATATATTTTCTTTCATAGAAAGATGATGGTCACAAGTTATGTGTTGGCCGAGTCCAATTTGTAACAGTTATTGGTAATGATTCAGTTTATGACACAGATGAATGGAGTCCCGAGTGTAGATACCATTGGTAATGAATGGTTTTCCGCAATGGTTTACTTTATGTCAATATTGTTGCTTCCACCCATCATGATGATAAATAGGAGTCCTGAGTGTATAAATTGCCATATAAATGCGGTAGTTGGTGAAAAATATCAATAGCTGTTAAGATAATGCTCTGGTGGATTGTCCAGTTGGACATGCAGTCACAACTGATAGGTTTTTGTTAAAACAGGAAAGACTGGTACAACAATTTAAGTGAAATTGTACGTGCAGACACATTTTGGTATTAGAAACCAATATTCCAAAGACGTATCTAGAGATGTTTTGCTGAAGCAACACTTGGCACAGCTGGGAAGTCAATACCTCTAAGCAGAAGAAGCATTATTTCCGCTTCATCGCAACACAAACTCCTTGTAATTCAATGTGGTCTAGTAGTCCAGACAAACTGAAATAGAGATTGAAAATCGATTTAATTAAACACAAAATAAGCAATTTAACATAAGGTACCTTATTTAATATATATATGTCTTTAATTTAAGATTGTGTAATTCAGTAGTTTAATAATGTTGTAATTAAATTATTCATTAATTAAGACAATGGTTATTTTACTTATGCTGTATATCCAGTATGTATAGATATTATACTGTGATGTTCTAACATTACTTTTATTCAGATTAAGTCAAGTAGTTTGTATTTCATATCCATTAAGTCATTAAGGAGCTTTAACAGATATAAATTTACTTATGTAAAAAAGTCTGGTAGTCTTGATGGGTCCTTAAGACAGCTCGTCTATCAATTGGCTGCAATGGCTGAAAAAGGCTGTGTATTTAAAAGAAAGAAAATGCTGAGGAATTTAAGAAATTTTAACAACATTTTTCATATACAAAGTAAAGATTGGGCTAAGTCTGAAAAGTCAAATATAATAGCTTTGAGCTAAAGCGGTAGAGTTTAGAGGCAAGAAAGGAATATACATTTTAAAAAAAAATAGGGTATACAAAAGGAAAAAAAAGAGAGATAGGTTATTTAGAATACAAAGGTAAATAAAATAATGAAATTTAATCGAAATAGGTGATGACATTTAGTATTTAGTTTAGTAGCTGCTGAGCCTATTACTACAACAACTATTCATTGTTTACCGTATCTAATCTGGGTTTAAGATAAATTATATCAGTAAGGGCATTATTTAATTTCCAATTATATAATTCACTGTTGTGAAGTTTGATAATTATTACAATTACAACATATATTTAAATAATTCAAGTTGATATATCATATAGTTTTGACATGGTTATCACGGATGTAAATTTTATTATTTTACAAAATGAAATTTCATAAATATTTATAAATTTGTTTTCATTCATGAAATAAAAACGAGTTTAATAATAAAAATGAACTGGATTGCTTTTAAAAACAATAGATTTATAAAGATTTGTAAATACTTCTTATGCAATAAGAATAATAATAACAGAGAATGGTTATCACTTCCGGTGCATTTGGCCTTATCGATAACTGGTCAGGAGCTATTGCTCAAATTTACGCCCGAACGCCCTGTTTATACAATTTACGGCCTATCTAAATGTCAATATGTTTCTTGTTTCAATTAGTTAAATCACTTTAACATTCAATACAAAAGGAATTAATTGCAATACGATAATGGTTTCCGAAATATAGCGCTAGCAAAATTACCTGTTTTCCCAACGAAAGATATCTGCCACAAGCCCTGTCAGTCCGGTGAAAAAGTTTATTTTGTAATGATCGTCCTCCTCGTGGGCACAAAATAGACTATAGGAAGTTCATTGTCTCTCCCTTACATAGACAAAGAAACGAAATCTAAACATGACCCTGTGACCTACCGGCATTGACCGGTCGCCGGTTAATGGTCTGTTTCTCGCATCCGAAAAATCGACCGGCGCGCGCAGCTTAGTGAAGTGCCTACTATATTTGGATGTCATTTGTGGTAGTTTATTTTAGTTAAACTGAAGAATAAAGTTTACAAACACATTGTCCATTCAATTATCTTTCATTCCATACCAAATTTTATCTTACAAACCCAAAAATAATATTTTAAACATTTTTTTAATCCCAACCTCTCACTTCTGGTAGCTGGATTCGAATCCGAATAGCTAAAAATATGACTTAGTCTTGAGTCTTAGTGTTTTTTTATAATTCTGTAAAAAATCAGTTCTATTCAACTGCCATTGGTTAATTTTTACCCCCAAATTTTTTTTTTATCAAAGTACCTACTATAAACTATAAATAGTGGTCTGGTAGTATCGGTTTTTTGTTAGAACTATCACTACATTATGTCTGTGTTACTATGTACTATGTATTTATTGAAAAATCCCCCTTTCACCCCCATGGGCTATATCAGTGGTCGGCAAATTGCAGCTCTCGAGCCCAATGCGGCTCTTTAGCAGCTTGAGTGCGGTTCGGCCACAAATCGGTTTTGACACCAAAAAACATGGTTCTTGGCAGGTTCTTGAAAAGAATTATAGCTCTTGATTTTTTTAAAAATCTTCCTGCTGCTGTCAACTGCTGATTTTTGGCTCTTTTGACTAATGACTAACTAATGCCGACCACTGAGCTATTCTGATCACGCCCGTGTAATTCCCAAAATATTTCCCTTTCCTTTTCCCCCATCCATGAAACCTACTAGGATATTAACGTTTCTTAACTTACGTAATTTATAAATTTACTTATTCCTTGTTGTGCTGTAGTGTTCTTCACCACTGTGAAGACACAGGTTTTCAAGGTGGCGGCCATCTTTCTTTCAATCACGTGACGTCAACAACTTATTGAGAATGCGGTGTAGTTTACTTTTTTTCTGCCCATGAATAATTTAAATAATAATTTATTGTTTCCCAACACATAAGTTTGTAAAAAAAATTTTAAAAATTAAAAAAAAATAAACAACATTTACAACAATAAGATAAGATCCCCGGATTAATAATCCAAAAAAACATAACTTTCGTTTGATTATTTTGAAGCCACATAATATTTATCAATGTTCATGTTGTTCATTTTCTACCCCCCCAAAAAAATGGGATCGTGAAGACATTGAGTTTAAGTTATGAATTTTAAACTTTAACTATTTGAACGTAGGACAATTTTAATATTATTTATCAAACACAGAAATATGTCATCAGAATATTGCGTCAAAAAGTCTCTATTGACACTTCTGATTGAACAGCCATCGAATTGTACTATTTCAAAGTAGACTGTCAACCACGGCAGAAAAATCTAAGACAGATTCTGGACCAAAGTTTTTTATAAATATTTCGGTTCTTTTTTTATTGTAAGGATTTGAGGGGTAATAGGTGTCCTGCATTTAGTGCTCTTTTTTATATTTGAATTTGAATATAGATACTTTTGAATTTTGAGTTACATTAAAGATCATTCTTATGAGACAAACATCATCACCATACCTGTGCCATCGCAAGTTTCTTGGTTGGGGTGGGTGAATGGCTGGTCGTTGAAAGCTGCAAGTGGTGGGTGGAAGGGGGTTCAGTCTTTCAGCCACGGCTGTGAACCTTGTTGGATAACAATAATAGTCATTGCAAACTAGAGAGCTCAAATAAAATGATTTACACTAGACTAGGCCTATATTGATAACTGCTCAAAGTTGCAATTTTATTTTATTTTTTGTTGTTTAAAATGCTTTTTTGGACACATTTTATCTCATTTTTATAAACTAAAAATAATATAAGTTATTATAAAGTGATTTTTTGTTGTAAATTATATAAATCAAAGAGTTACATGAAACATTTCATTGCAGAGTTACTGCTTCTTATCTAACTCAACCTTTATAAAGGAAAAGAATGACTACTCAAAAACACTATTTTTTATGTCATTTCATTGTTGTTGGCGTTTCGCTTTCTGTTCCAATATCTGCAACTTTGTCTTAAAATAGCATAATAAAACATCTTATACATAAAGTATTGTGGGAACAGAGATTAGACTCATAAGTTGTGTATTAGAGCCGATGCGCGGCATTTGTAGCCCCCCTCCCCCCCGGCCCCCCGGCCCCCCCTCCCACACTTTTAACTTTACAACTTTTATATACGTTCTATCATATTTTTTTCCACATCACAACTTTGCTTGCCACTTAGTTTTTTGTGTGTGTCTACCTGCAGTCTGTAGTGGCCGCGGGTCTTACGCAACGGCACTGGTATTATAATATTATAATACTTTATTACAGTATTTAGTGTATTATAATTATATTATAATGTGATAGACAATTAGGGCAGTCCATAGGAAGGTAAGCTTTTTTTGGATGAGAAATTAATGTCTTCCACTTTCTTTCTTGGAGGGGACACACGACGTGAACATCCACGTGAATGCCGCTTTTCAACATGTCACGAAACAGGAATAGTTCACAATAAAGCATCCCAACCCCAACATTAATGTGTGTATGTATATCTATCTATATATATATATATATATATATATATATATATATATATATATATATATATATATATATATATATATATATATATATATATATATATATATATATATATATATATATATATATAT